CCCCCCCCCCCGCCCCCTACCTCTGGCCAAGTTCCAAGCTGCACCTCCCCGGTTTTGTGGCAACAAGTTGGTAGGAACACGACCTTATTAATGGACATTCTGCCCCAGCATTCAACAGTTCGATGCATGACACGATCGATGCTTGTCGAAACGTTTGTGGCGGATATATTGCGTGGACGAGTGGGGCGAGGTCAGAACGTGGTTCAACAGTGATGATGGTGGTATCCTAAAGCGCGCGAACAAAACGTCATCACCAAGAACGCGTTTCCGCGGCCTCGGCCATGAACGGACAAGACTGCTGACCCAACCACTGACTCACGCCGCTCGCTTTTTCCGCCAGGTAATGGGGCGAACACGTACCAACAGGCCGGTGTTCTTGAATGGAGACATCGGAGAGCTCAAGGGGAAGCTCATCAAGGCAGAAATCACCGAGTGTCGCCCGTGGAGCTTGACGGGTGTCGCGCAGGGAGAGCCGTACTGAACGAATTTGTAGCCTTGGAGGTTGTGTAGTACAAGACACGAAAAGCACTTGGGGGTTGTGCAGTAAGTAGGAGACACCTGAAACGCGAACCAGCTGCGGGCGTGCTTGTGCTGGGGTGCGCCCGCGCCTTGCGCTGTTAGGACACACCACCACGTGCCTTCTAGTTCGGAATTGCTGCTACATTGGACGCGTTCTTGTTTCGGGCGCGTGTTTTAGTGCGTGCTCTATTACTTGGCGAAACGCGCCCACGTCCATGTCTTGAATAGTAGGTGAATCTGGTGGAGCTGTAGTCCACGCAGTGAAGTGTGAAAAGCTGGAGGGCTGGGGTGGCAAGTAGCTTCGTGCGCGGCGGGTTCGCAAATATGATGCAGTTCAAAAAGTTTAGAGAAGCCCTGTGTTGTCAGCTGATTGTTATCCGACAGTCGATTATCTTCCACCATCACTGCTGTGTAGTCGGAAGATATCCCACAAAATGAGAGTCGGCGCCGGATCAACATCTACAAGGAGCAGTAGCGTGTTTTGTCTTGGCAGATAATAACGTTCTCGCCCGTTGACCGTAAGAGTACTTGTGTGGCTTCCTCGTCTCATGGTTCCGTGGGGTTTTACCCCCCGCTCCAACATACCAAACATGATGTTTGAGGAACTGGGAACATAGTCTAGACTACATGTCTTTTTGAAACTCCCCGCGGTTTGGTTACTTGTTTCGGCGCCTGCACCACAAGTCTTCTCTTCTCCGCCAACGACCACACAGGGGTGCGGGCAAGCGCCATGCCCTCTCCTTTCTCCATGAGAGCAGAAATGAAAGCCGCTAAACCTACTGTTGAGAAGCACGATGACCACTAGACTACTAGTCAGCGCTGACTAGTAGTCTAGTGGTCATCGTGCTTGTCAACAAAAGTCAATGCCCGTGTCCGATGTAGCTTTGCAGCCACGAACACGTCCCCACAGGGTTGCCATCCCTGTGATCAGCGCTGTCTTGCCCGGAACTAGTCTAGTGGTCATCGTGCTTCTCAATAAAAGCCAGTGTCCGAGGTTCGAATTTCCCCTTGAGCATAAATATCTCTGCGCCCGATGTATGAGGAGGAAGAGTCTAAGAGACTTCGCAAAGCAAGCCGATGTACCTCTTGTACCGATGCAATTTCCGGGCAAGACAGCGCTGATCGCAGGGATGGCAACCCTGGGGGGACGTGTTCGTGGCTGCAAAGCTCCATCGGACACGGGCATTGACTTTTGTTGTAAACCACNAAGTCAGCCGCTGACTAGTAGTCTAGTGGTCATCGTGCTTCTCAACACCTACTGCTGCACATATCATTACGTGGAAGGGGTACCCTTCACAAGAAATACTCATCGGGCAGGGGGGGCGGGCTCTTTGCCTCTCGGAGATCTGCGTCGGAGATCGCAAGCGCAGACACGCCGCACCTTGCAGCGGCAACGGCACCTAGTAGTGCACGAGCTCTTGTAGCCGCGTCCGCAGTCTCCAGGGTTCACAGGATGGTACTCAAGCCGCAGACAGTTCGAAATTGGAAGCTGTTGACTGGAGTAGCGTCGGCGGCGACGGTATTCCACACCGTGTTTCGTGTGGACTACGGACCTCACGACCACTGCTTCACGGGGGTAAGCGCCTGTGATATAGCCGTGCCATGCTGCCGCCTCTGGTGGTGATGCCGCTGTTGTGGCTGTTGCTGTGCACACCTTTCTCCCTGGCAAATGTGGTGCCCTTATGTGTGTGTGTGTGTCTCTCGTGGTGTTTGCTACCCACAGTTTTACCTTGGGGTACACACGCTCTGTGGCCTGCCTATGCTCAACACGGTAAGCACTGCTGCCGGAGTACGTCCTCTCATCGTTTGGCGTGTAACGGTCGATGCTGCAGCCATGGAAAAACCAAGTTCCGTAACACTGATGCCGTAGCCTATCTTGGCAGGTTCATGGTCGATTTCATGTTAGTTGTCTGACGGACGGTGTTGGGACCGTTTTTGTACCCTTGCTGTCAACTCCATGAATGGATGAGTCGGTGGTTTCATTGCTACACGGAGTATCTTCGACCCCACGCACGATAACCCGAGCGCTAGCTCAGCAGTTGATGCGGGTTTTCGTGTGCTAGGCACCAACTACTAGTGTGTGTGATATGTTGATGGATTAGACCATGTTCTTCGCCAGCAGGTCGGTGCAGACATCCTCCGGATCTAGATCATTTACACTAGGTTGGACAGGGCTGTACATGTTATGATTGGTTGTACATGCGCTCGAGTTTGCTTCCGCCCGAGAGTATCTGGAGGTACGGCAGCAGTAGCTCCGGTGAGTGCCAATCCGGGTCTTCCGTATGCCCCCCTCCCATTTGTTTTACCCGGCCATGATACAAAATGCGTGAAGCCCTCCCTTCGTTCGATCCACTCCCCAACAGAAGTTTGGTGTGTCGACGCCGGCTCTTTGCTTCTTTGTTTCTTCTCACAAACGCCCCGCCCGTCCCCTCACGTCCACGGTGCGTTCCCCACAACTGTTCTCTCCCCTGCTGACACCAGGTCCAACGGTGGTACAACGAAAAGGTGGACGATTTTTTAGGGATTGGACCGGCCTCACCATCGGAGTCCAGCGCGTTTTCTGACCAAGAGACAGGGGGTACCGGGGTGGAGGAAGTTGGGGGGCGAGATCGACAAGCGGACGAGAGAAGCACTGTCCGGAAATAACCTATGATGCCACGGTGGACAGGCTCCCCATCAAGGGCGTGCATTTAGCCCTTTGCAATTTACTGGTGGAGATTGATTCAGGGTGCAGCTCGGGTGCCAGGACGAGCGAATGCCTGACAGCGCGTGCGACAACACAGGGCCAAGCAAACGTGACAAACGGGGTCGCAACGCTTGGCGGAGTTATCGTGCACCTGTTGAGGAAGGAAAGGGGCGGGAAGGATGCGACCATCAACAACGAGTCGGGGCTGTCTACTGCTACGGCAGACTTGCCGGGCAGGGTAAATAAAGTGAATATCGCGTATTGAGGACCGTAGCGTCGCAGTGAGAAACGTGTCAAGGCGCGTTGGTTTGCATTCGGGCAACAGGCACTACTCAATGCGGCCGCACACGTGCCCAACTGGTGGTCTTTCTCTGACCTCGACCGTGCCTGCACGCCCAGGCGTAAACACCGGGGGATGCAGTTGGTTCCAAGCTGGCCGGTGCGTTTTGGCGGAGTGCTGTTTCGCGTCGTGGGTTTGACCTACCGCAAATGGAAAAGGACGCGCACTTCGGTTGGTCACTTCGCCCGGCCCTCTGTTCCGGCGGTACGAGCTCCCGTTGGAAGCAGTCATGCCTGTCGTAAGCCCTGTACCTTCTAGCCCCCCCCCCCCCCCCCCCCCCCCCCCCCCCCCCCCCCCCCCCCCCCCCCCCCCCCCCCCCCCCCCCCC